CTTTTCTTTCTAAGATAGAACCCCAACAGTAAACTGTTTGGGGAAAAACACAACAACACATAAAAGGAAACAACAAAGTACGGCTGAGCGTCCCTGGACGATGTGCGAGCTAAGAACCGACGAATGCCATGTGAAAAGAGCTTTTTGATGCCCTGGGCATCCATGTGAGTATGGACTGCATCAGCAGGCTTTCCGCAAAGCTCCCTGAACAGTGCAACCTGTAGCAGGGGTCTCATCAACTTGAACTTGAACTCATTATTACGTCTAACCTTTTCTTAAACACACCCACATATACACTTGAGGGCTCCATTTTTTGAACCACCTCCCACCTCCCTCCGAATAACGCTGAGACAAAGTGCTTTGGGATTTGGTTGGACTGAGCAATACCACTCTGCCACCAGCTCCAACAGGGTAGGGTTCAAGGCCATCGCACGGACTGATGCAACACCAGTGGCATCTTTGGTAAGCCAGCGTGTGACATGCGGGTTCTCTTGGTCATGCATCCGCTGTCGAAGTGCCGGCTGCTGCTCCAAAAGAGTAGCAAGAGTGCCCTTGCCCAGGCGTGGATCTTCCCACACATTTGGTAGAGGCTGGGATTCGGGAGACAGCACTGGAGCGACCGACATGAACCCAACAGAAACTAGACAGGAAGTACAGAGCCCAAAAGTCTTCTTTGATTGAAGTTTCTCAGACACAAGCACTGGAGAGCATGCAGCATGGCACAGTACTGCATCAACTCTACTCTCTCTACTCGACTAGGTTTTTTGATTGAAGCATGCAAAGAAACGTCAGAAGGGGCACAAAATCTCATCACCGATGGCCAGGCCATGCGCTGACCGGCGCCGGATAGCTCCAAGCTTTGAAAAGGAGGTCAAAAGATGTCAAAAGAGTCTTGATGTGATGATCACTTGTGAGAGTGTGTACCATCAACACTTGAAGTTGTGCAACCAGTGAAGTAGACCTCCTGGGTTGGCCTGGTGACATGATGTCACTCTCTTGATCGATCAACGATGTGATAAAAGATAAAAAGGCTGGCCGCGCAAACCTTTGTCCACACAAAGATGTTGCTGGACGGCAGAGATAACCATGGTTCATTCAGCCTTGGAGAAATGGAAAAAAAACTGAAATCTCGAGAAACGCCGCCAAGCAAAAATATTAGTTCCTGATCTAAAAAAGCAGTTTTGCTTGAAACAACTGAAAAAAGTAAGCATTAGGAGGTTGCAGGTATATATTATATATCGAAAGATCACATGATTTTACTATGCCGAGCTCAGTGTGCCGAGCTCGGTGTTACGCATGACACACATCAAATAAGGAAGGCCAAAGGAAAAATCCCCAGCGCAAATCACTACCCAATTCATTGCGATTGTAGTTTGTGTTTAAGAGCAACCAACTGGGCGTGATGGAAATTACAAACAGTGGTGAACACGATGTTGTTTAACCGGTTCAAAAATGAGGCATGAGTTGAAAAAGCCGGAAGCCCACATGAGGGAAAAACCGCAAACCACGTTGAAACCATCTGTCTGGCATCACGATCTGAATCTCTTCTTTCAACATGTGTGTGTAAACGTATCCGGCTCAAAGGAAAAGAACAAACCTCTCCAACCAGGCCAGCAAACAGTAACCAACAGCATGGCCACGGCCAATCTCAGAGATGACAGGCCAGCTCGCCCTCAACCCGATCCCACCCTCCTCCAAAGACATTTCACCCCACCACCCGATCCAGAGCCGGTCTTCTCCACTTCGGATCCCGGGCCGTTCTTCCTTGGCCCTCGAGCGCCACCGCTCTGAGACGTGCCTGAGCTGCACAAGCAAGAACAACCACGAGGCCAACAACGGCAAATCTGCAGGTAGACCCCCCCAAAACCCTTCACAAAGAATAGTCAATTGGAAACGGGTATCATGTTGTTTATGTTTTTCCCGATGGGTGCATATTCCATCTGCTCCAGGATGGTTGTATCGTCTCTCAGAAGTTAGTTGGAAGCCCTATTTGCTGGAGGCAACACGATCTAAAAGGTGAACACATGATTAAATTTATTGGCCATATACAATATAGTCGTATAGATCAATATAGACTTCAGAGTTGATGGCATGAAACACCACTGATTGTATTTGGATGCCGTATCATCTCTCACTTTTTGCTGCAATCTACTCTGAAAATGACTACTTAGTCTCTATCTCTTCTTGCTAAGGAGGCTTTACACTGTCATCAAATACCAAATACTTTGTTAAATCTAGGCTTGAGGCCTTGCAAACCACAAGTGCAAATTGACATGGATCCACTCAGATCCAATACCCATCGTCACATCTTCATACCTGCGACCCTTGGATCTGGCTGCGGGTCGAGGATGAGCAAATCCATCTCCCGCTGCAAGGGCAACCTGGAGGAGCGGAAGCTCCCGTCCGGATGTCATGTTGTGTCTAGTCATATTTGTCAAAAGCCTTGAAACATCGCTGGTGAATATCTGACACATCATGTTGTTTTTGTTTAATTGGTTTTTAAAACCTAGTGGTTGAGCAATTGCCCTGTTTTGCAGAAGAAACACCTAACAGCGAACAACATATAATATTCCATGACAAAGCAAGGGCACTCAGAAAAGAGAAAAACAAAAACATGTTTGAGTCTCTTGATACATCAATACTTGTGCAAAAAGACAAGGAAATGATACCAGGTTCAGGGAAACAAAACGCAATAATTTTGGCCTAATCCAGTGGTTCTGGTACTAGATTTTCTTGCCACGTGAGGGACCTCAAACCGGGTTCCAACCACCCAACCCAACACAACTCCCGGCGGCACCCCTGCGGAGAAAAACAACATCTCCAGCGGAATGGGCCATTGGATCAGACTGGACCTTGGAAAAACCTTGATGTTGGAAACAACACAAGCAGATCAACTGGACCTTGGAAACAAAACCTTTCCACCTTGGATGTTGGACTCCGACCAGAAACCAGGTGGAAACCACACATGTTAACCAAACTTAGAGGATCCACGCAGGCACCGGGAGCGATCGAGGTTCTCTCGGGCGATCGAAGTATTCAAGCGATGACCTTCGAATGGGCCAAACGGGTTGGAAGAAAAACATGTTTCCCATAGTTCCTTCCAGAAGTTCTATATAAATAAATATATCAAATGCAACTTCGAGCCCATCAACATTCGAAGCATGTATCCCTAAACACTGACTTCCTCAGTATCCCTGAACAACAAAAGGGTAACAGTTTTCCACATGTTCTTGTTTGGTTATTTGGTGGGTTACCGGGTTGAGCCCATCCAGTATATAAGACTATATAGGACTTCTATATTCCATGTGCATATCTATTGCTGAGGTGAACCCTTCCAAAAGTTCTTCAAGTGAAATCAAGAATCACGACTCAGGTAGCTTTTCTTGCTGGCTTAAGATACAGTGCTTTCAGAGGACCAATGGCAAAGACCCCTAAGATGTCGGTGGTTAACATATGAAACCCCCATCTGTTCAGGACATCTTGGGGTGCCAGTGCCATTGGTCCTCTGAAACCACTGTATCTTAACGACACTTTTTGGGATATCCTTCAAGTCCACCAACGAATCACCGACTCTGGGTGCTCCAGGCTGCACCCGCGCAGCGACGTCCAGCTGAGCCTCGGTCCCCATTCGTGTATGATTGGGTCTATGCCAGGAGTGTACCATGATGGGTGTATATATCCTATATAACTGTAACAAAAGGTATATATACCTGGAACCCAACTGACCCCTGTTGTGATATGAAAAGGCGATATTTTGGGTGGTTGGTGGTCCAAACTAGAGGTTATTCAGGTTCTAGGTGGTATATATATATATATGTCCTTCTACTCTTATATTCTGTTTGTTTGGGTATAGTCCAGTGGATGATGGTTAGTAAAGATCGTAAAGACCGATGTTCTCTCCACGGTGATCATCTCCAAAAATTCTACTTAATTATATGATATATTATGTTGTGTGTTTGTTTATTTGCCCAACCAACTCCAAGCCCAAACATGTGAACGAGCATCACAAGTATATGTGTTTGTTGATGAGATTGTATGATTGCCTCATTATTCAGCAATCAAACATGACATGTGATGAGATGTACTTTGTTTATGGTGTGTGTGCTTCTTTTTAAACATGACTTTGGAACTTGTACCTTGACAGTGTTGGGAAGGTTCTTTGACAGACGTGCTTCGCACATTAAGAAAACACATCTTAGAGCTTGATCTGTGCGCTCCAAATCTGCGCGCAAGCTGCGAGAGAAGCATCTTGTGTCCTCAAAAGCACCTGTTTCCTTGCATTCTGGATTGCCTGGATGCCCTGTGTAACGGTTCTTTGCGACGCAAGACATACACTCCACACACGAGGGGCCGACGAAGGGGCCGACGAAGGGGCGTCTCTTCATTGGTGAGCAAGTAGCTTGATACTAGCATAAGTGTATCTTTACAGCAAAGTATAGTAGCAATTGGTGTATATGTGCCTTCTTAAATCTTCTCAATCATATTTATCCCTCAAAGCTGCTGGTGGATCAATTTGAAAACGCCAATCAACTTGAACCGAAGCTGGTGAGACGCTGAAGAATTTGGATCACACAAAGAGAAACGAGGCCAGGGTTTGCACCAAAGAGGTTTGGGCTTCCCGGCACTCAGGCGTTCCAGCAAGTCCTGCGAGACGGCTGGAAGTGAACCCCTGGGCCCATGAGAACAGGCGAACTTATCTCAAAGATGGATAGCAGAATGACTAGAGATGACTAGGCTTGTTGTAACATCCGCTGGTGGCACAATCGTTTCTTTCATGAAGAGTAAACTCGTGTTGGGGGCTCAGAGTTCCAAACTTGAACGGGTTACTGCATACCATCTAAAACCTGCACCTGCAGACGATTCATCGTAGAGGGATCAAAAGGGCTCGAGGCTGTAAACTTCTTCCCAACACATCCAGAGCAAGTCCCCAGTCCATATGTAATGATGATTTCTCGCCAAGTCTTTCCACTAAACCACTAAAACCTACACCATACCATATACAAACAACTGATGAGAGCACTTGCCTGTTGGTTAATACGCAAATCCCTTATGAACCAAAGGGGCTACAGTCCATGGTACCTCACCTGCAGATCCCCTTGGAGGGAGCCAACCACGACAACGGTGAAAACCGTAGGTGAACCACTCACCTCCCCCTGAAGTTATTGGACAAGAATCACTATGGTTTTCGAAACAATAAATCATTATTGAGGAGCCTTATTTGCATTTATATGCCACTTGATACCTAAAATGTCCCCTCCAGATTGAAGGTGTTTGAGGACCCACACCAAACGGCTTGGCCCGAGGTCGTAAACTCCTCTACCGACCTACACTCTCGGCGCGGTAGTTGGTCCTACCATCCGTACATTTCTTCACCCCCCCGGGTACTTCGGGTACCCTACGCGATCCCCTTTTTGGTAATTGGAGGTCACGAACGGCCTGGTTTGAGGGTCACTGGGTCGAGTTCAAATCCGGTCACGAATCGTGAAGAAACTGGGCCGGTAGCACTTAGTGGCTGGCTGGTTTCAGAGTAGATGGGCACAAACAGGTTCGGAAGTGTGATAGGACATGAGGTCAACTTGCATTTCCAATGCATTTCCCAAACATTTCTTGTTTTTATATGCATATG